AATGTACAAGCTCTCATTCGAAGAAGTTCTCACCATCTTGCATTTTGTTGCATGTTTCAAACTTGTGGGCCTTATTCAACTGAATCCAAAGCATTTCACATTTTTGAAAAAAAAAAAAGAAGAAAAGAAAAAGAAAAAGAGGTTCTTCCAAGATAAATTCATGAAAAGTTCATCTTTTAGACATCAAAATAATCTGAGCACATGATTTTGGAGCATCACATCATCATTTTCTCCAAGCATCACACCATTCACTTTTTCATCAAGCTTCATGGCATTTGCATTCTTTTCAGAGGAATGATATTTCCCATGAATGCCAATTTAATGTTCGCAATGGTGAATCATCAAATGCATAAAATTCATGTTTTAGGATACAATTTCACACACCTTACCACTTGTCAGCATATTTGTATTCTTGCATCCTTTATCTCTCATTTCCCATCCATGGTTATTTCTTTTCGTGCATTCCCAAAAATGCATGCTTTAGGATACAACTCCACACACATTATCACTTTAGAGCATATTCATGTTCTTTCATCCTTCATTTGTTGTTTAGCATCCATGTTTATTTCTTTTCCTGCATTCCCATAATCTTGTTTGATTCTCTGCCTTCAACAATTGAAATATGGATTCATACATAGTCAGCGCGAATCTTTGTTAGTCAAGACACTTTTGAAATATTCATCCGTGGGGAAAGCTTTGACCAACAAAGGATTCAGGAGATCTTCAATTGTAAGCATTTTCTCCATCGTGGACAATTGCCAAGTCCAAGGGGCAAGCTTAGAAGGACAAGAACCAATAGCAGCCTTAAAGATCAAAAGCTCAAGCACATCGCACTTTATATGGCTCTAGCAATCAAGGGATTCTTCAAGGAAAAGGATGCTACTCCTCATTAGACAATTGTACTTTGAAAGATCTAGGAGTCAGATTTTACTAGGGACTTGAATGCAACCATGTTGATGTACTTAGTGTGATGTACTAGGCTTTTACTTTGTAATGAATGACCATCTTTGTAATGCATGTTGAACTGCTTGTAAGTGTCTTTTCTATAGCCCTTGGAGTCTATGGAAATCTCAAGACGTTCAAAGATATTTTGCTTCATCCGAGGCTCCTTAAGGATTGGAAATCGACAATGTGTGAATCCATATAGCAATTGTTGAAGCACTAAATCATGCAAAATTATGGGATGACTTCTAACATTATTCTGACTTTGTTTATTTTTCTTTTACTTTTTGTTTGCAGATAGGTATCATAAACTACTTAAAAAAAAAAATCAAAAAAAAATCAGGCATGATAGTCTCCCTATGTTTTCTCACTCTTTGGAGCAATGATCACCTATCTAGAAGGCAACCTTCAAAGCTCACCAAAATATGATGTTGAAGTGGACTTACACACAAGACATGTGGATTTAAATTCAATGAATGAGGGGGCAAATCTAGGTCATGGGGAAATTTGAGAATTATTGCTCTTAAGGATGAACCCCTATTTGACATGATCATTACTTCTACCTTGGGGGCACTTTGGCCAATTGGATAGTCAAGCTTGTCTCTGCCTCATTCATCCATGAGTAGGATAAGTTAGCTTTCTAGTAGCTCAGCTTGTGGCTACATGAAAGGAGGGAGTAACAAGCCCTTTTATATTCTCTGAAATATTTGCTATCATGCTAATTAGTTTTCCAATCTTTACAATTCAGTCTCACATGTTGCCATGTCACCATCCATTAAACTTGATGCAACTCTTCTTGTTAATCATTGTCCAAACCATCATTCACCATTGAGATATCATTTGATGCCATTAATATGCCAAAAAACAAAAAAAAAAACAAAAAAACAAAAACAAAAAAAGAACAAAAAATTTACTTGCATATATATGCTTTCCTCACATGTTGTTGCTTATCCATGTTTCTTTTTGCTTTCAGGCTTTGCTAATGATGAATCTGAATACAATGATGCCATTTCAGGATTGGTATATGTTTCAAATGATCCAACTCCATGTCGAGGAAGATGATGTTAATCTTGATTCTTCCTTTGAACTAACTGATATGTTGCAAAATGGAGGCCAAAAATGCAGTCAAATGTGATAGAATCATACAAGAAGAAAATGGTGAGCAAAGATCCAAAAAAAAGAAGGGAGAGAATAAGGAAATCTTGCTAACTTAAGTTGAATGATTGTCATCATTTTGAGGTCTAAAGTGAAAAGCTCAAGGATCAAAGGCCATTTTTCATGAGCCTAATTCCCAAACACTTTACCCAAAAAGTGTCATCCTTTCGTCAACCAAGTTGAGCCTAAAAAGAAAAAGTAAGCCTTTCTTTCATACCTATCCCAAAACCGGGGAATATAGTTACATGCCTAATGGGGGGCAAGATCATATTGCTAAAAGCCATGAAGATAAATCTCAAAAGAGTAGCAAAGTTCAAAAAGAGCAAAAGCTCAACAACAACCAAAAAAACAAAAAAAAAAGAAAAAAAAAAGATAAAAGAGAAATGACAATGCAAATGTCACATGGCAAGGGTTGAAATGGCAAGGGGCATGTTGGGTAATTTTGAGCCTTTAATTTCCATTCTTTTCATAAAACCCTAACCAAACCCCATTACAACCCAAGGAAAAGTCCTTTTGAGAGTTTTGAAGCTTTAGATATCAAAATGATGGCAATCATTAGACTAAGAATAGCAAATCATGATCAAATTCAAGAGCTAATAGATTCAATGATGAGAGGCCATGTTTGTTTATCCTTAGTCACCCCTTTGAGCCTAAAGAAAAGGTAATCATCCAAACTATAAAAGCCAAGATGATTTTCTTGTGAATTTACCTACATCATGAACCGGGGAAGTGAAGAGTGATTGTGAAAGGGAAATACCGACAGAAATGGATTTTTGAGCCTTCATATCCTTCTTTTTGATAACTAAACCCAAAGCCACATAACAACTTTTAGTTTGATCATGAATTTCCATATAAAAAAAAAAAAAACAACAAAAAAAAGGGAAAGAAAAAAAGGGAAGAAAAGGGTGACCTAGTAAGCTAAATGTTTCCTTGACTTGGAAAGTTGAAGATCCAATGATGAAAGGCATTGTTTCTCTATCCCAAACAGTTAACATTGTCCTTTGCTTACCCTTTTTGAGCTAGAAAAAGGCAATCATCCAGATTCAAAAAAGCCAAGATGATTTTCTTCTTGTTAACCCACATTAATGACCGGGGTTGTAAAGAGAGAAATGTGAGGGGAAATATATGGATTTTGAGCCTTTATTCCTTTCTTCCATAATAGCCTAACCCATGGCCACATTACAAGCCTATATAAAGTCCTTATTTGAGGGTTTGCAACTTTCTTTGTCAAGGAACATTAAACAAACAAACAAAAAATCCTTTCTCTAACGAGTCCAAGTCAGTTAGCTTAATGGTTTATGATCGGTCTTCTAAACATTGAAGGTTAGTTCATGGGAAAGAGATGGATTGGATTTGTCCACCTTGGCATGGAAGTAGACATTGTCTCATATGCTAAAGACTGGATTGGTGGAGTTGCAAAGAAATAAATTCTTGAAGCAAATGCTTTATAGCCTGAATGCCTTCTAGCTTTGTTAAAATTGTTGCATCAAAAGTTGT